TAAATCAACAATGTTTTGCGGCAATTTTTAACATCATTATTTTGTCTTCTTAAAAAGATAAACAATTTTAACACATTTAACATTATGGATAAAAAATAGTAAAGAAACTGTTAGCATAGAACTCACGGTTGGTTCTAGCCAATTCAATTATGGATAAAAAGTAGTACATCTCACAGTGTCTTTTCGTAACGGTTTTGAGCAAAAACAGGTCCTAGTGTAACGTCAAAATCGGCGAATTTTTCTTTTACCTTTTAATAGTTGGGTTTAGTTTAATTTGTAACACACACACACACACACACACACACACACACACACACACACACATATATATATATATATATATATATATATATATATATATATACAAATGTTCATACGATATCGATGCTCACAAAGCATTGCCCATGGCTTTCAATCATACCCCTGCCAAGTGATTCGGGGCTAGTACGCACCGATCTTGGTAATAGATAACGATTGACATTGCATTTAAATTTTTTGAAGATCAAAGTTGACTAGAAAAACTTAAGAGATTTCCACAAGTGAGAAGTGTGAGAGAAGTAATTGTTAGCATAGAACATAGAACTTTCGTTCGCATTCAGTCATTTCAACTGTAAATTGATAAGACCTTGTTGCTAATCTAATTGTTGCCTAATTAGATAAGCCAAGGGGTTACTGGGAAATAAAAGAGACACAGGAGACCTTAGTGAGAAGTGGGAAGAAAGACAGATGACGACGATTGGGATTGCAGTTCATTTTTGAACATTGTGGGTAACAGGGAAGCAAAAAATCCAAAGGTAGTTCCACATGCCAGAAGTGTGAGAAAATAAACTTTGAATTGATGAGACCTTGCCGCCATTCTAGTATTGCGCTTATATTCATAAAGCTTACACCTTTGTGCAAGTTAATTGAAAGAAAACGAATAATTAAGCTATTATAAACTTTTTCGTATTTTTTCCTGTGCACATATTAATACTTCGTAATTTCGTCTATCTTTTAGAAGCTCTTTGATGCGATTTGGCATGGAGTCCACTAATTTGGAGCAGTCTTCATTTCTTTTGGAGTCACGGTACCACACGTCTATAATGGCCGTCACAAGCTTCTCTTTCGTCAGTGTGTTCGTGCAGCATTACAATTTTCGGAAGCAACCTTGGAGTAATGTCCACCGCAGACAATGGTTTTATGACAACTAATCGAGAGTCGAGACAATAGTGTCTGGGCATGATAGGAATCTGATGCAATCAAGGCCAAAAAAATTTCATCCCTAAACCCCAAAAATAGATACATATTTTTGCAAACCACTGCAAATGACATAATCTGAGGAAAAAATAGAAAAAGATTACAACCTATCAATCCTGTCAGTCTAAAACTGACCGTATGGTGAAAGAAAGGAAACTAAAGCAGTTGAAAGTATTTATAGAAAAGGCACAGGGAAGATACATCACGGCAGTAGGAAAATGACGGAAAGTGAGAGGCCAGGTCATGACCAATAATATTGCTGATTCTTATAAAGAATCACTTGATATACAGCAGCGGACCATATTCCTTTTTTATTTTATTTCGATTTTTTTTTCTTTCGATATTTAGGGAAAACAAATTAGGTTAAATCCGAATGAACTTAAAAGACTCTATTACACGTGCTGGGTATAACAATAAACTACATTCGGCAGCAAATCTTCTGATCGAGTGGTTCTGAGGAGCACGGAAATACCTTATAATTATTGTTGTTTCTAGGTCTGTCCTGACCCAGGGTGGTAGCACCTGTTAGGGTCCCAGCTATGGGCAAATAGTGAACACCCAAACTGAAGTCAAACCACTAGGAAGGTATAAAAATACATTTTTATGGTAAACATTTCCAGCAATAGATTTTAATAGTAAATATAATTAAAAAAAAATACCAAGGATCCCAATAAAATTAAATTTTGCCATTAAATGACACATAAGGAGTTGATATGCCGTTAAACAACAAACCAAACCAAAGATTCCGAATGAGTATAGCATTAGAATTTAGATGGAATTTTTCTGGTAAATTTGTTTACCGCTCGAAACGATTTCTTCAAAACAAACTGAATTACCTCCCTTACACTACTCTTACATTATTGGGGTTGATTGGGAGAATTTGTTTTGCAGCAAATTAAACTCTATTAATTTCGAAATATAAACACATTTTAAACGCAATTGTATGCCTTCAATTACAAATAAAATGCCTTGTTGGCTATTATACTATGAAATGTTTTTTTAGTCATTTTAATATAAATAGGTATTGTTGGTAACTATACAATAATGTATTGCAAGTATTTGTATACTTTTTTTTTTTTTTTTTTTTTCAGGGAGTCGATTATTGGGATCAGATCACCACAAATGCTAACACCATGGGTCAGGAGGGACCTGGAAGCAACAGCTATTAAGAGGTGGTTCCACGCTCCTGAAAATATTCAGTCTCTCTAACATAGGCCTTGCTACTGGATGTATTTTATCGTCATACCCAGGACTATATTTAAGTTAGTGCCATACTTTTTCTTTCCTTTGATTTCAAAATTCAGGTATCTGAAATTAAAATATAGGAAATTTTAGCGGTTCTTTTTTTCACAAGTAAAAAATTAAATTTCTGTGAATAAAGATGCTGAAAAGTACTCGGCGTTTCCTGTCGTGTTCAATTTCTATAAGAGTAAGAACTGACCGAAAAGGAAGGATTAATGCATTTTAAGTGGGCTGCGGCTGCACAATCTTCACTTTCCAGCCTTCAAATTGTTACCCTATAACTTTCCCACATAGTAGCCATCTTCTCGTTACCCTATCGACATTTTACGGCATGTGTTCGCCGAACGACATTCCTTAGACTCACCAGTTCAGACCTTCACAGCTAGGACTCCCCATGCCACTTACACAGAGACAACTCAGACAATTCCCCTTCTTATTTATTTGGCAAGGAAGAAATTCAACTCAACCAGCTTCTTCCCCAGAACGGTTGCGTTTTCGAACAGACTCCCGAAATATTTCCTCCTCTTCAAGTTTAGGAGTAAACTTACCTTTCCTAATTATCCTCAAAATATGCAACAGTTTTTCGTTTCATGTTCGCGATTACAGCATCATCCATTAAGACTCTTTCTTGAGTGGCTCTTGCAAGATGTTGCAGATCTAGTCCCCAAAAGAATCACCTTTATTTAATGAGGTTCTGTATACCCACTACAGTAAATCTGAATATTTGTTTTCTTATCCATGTGCCTGTTGCATCTTTCATTACCTCGTCACTGAAGCGCCTCATCATTAGCAAAAGCGATGAACCCATTATCTGACCCTTTATCGTGTTTCTTAACGTTCTAGTAACCCGTTTTGCACAGAACATTTTCTAACCTAGAGACTGCACTGAAATGCCAGAACTACTATGACTTTGACAAAGTTTCCTATAGAATAACACAGTCGACTTTAATGGGGATATCAGACCTTCCCTTCGCATTCATACAAGCAAAGAACTTGCCACTGTAGAACCTCTCACTAAAAATCTTTCTTTTCTCTCTGGGATTGCTATTAACTCTACTGATATATCATGTTAATGTGAATATATCAAGTGGAACTTTTTCATAATAATTCTCTAAAATCCTATGAATTTGGCAACATTTTTTTTTTCCGTCAAGTAGATATTCTAAGAAGGCTCTTTGCTTTCTACGTGTGGTAAGAGTAGCAGCCATTTTGTAATGGAACACGGGGAAGAAAAGTGAACGCAACTCCACTGACTTTACTCCAATTTTAATTTTCTCTTTTTTGTTATTGTCTTAAACTTTCATCTTTTTTCTTTTATATTTTCCTTCTTTCTTTCTTTCTTTCTTTCTTTCTTTTTTTACTCCCTTTTCTTTTCCTACTCATTGGTATGCCTTTCCTTTCATATTTTTCTTTTTCTTTCTTTTATTTTCTTTTCTATTACTCTTTTTCTGTTCCTTCTCATTGGTATGCCTTGTCTTCATATTTTTCTTTCTTTCTTTCTCTCTCTCTTTCTTTCTTTTATTCTCTTTTTATTTCTTCTTTTTCTTTTCTTTCTCATTGGCATGTTCTTCAATTCATATTTTCTTTTTTTCTTTCTTTATTTCTTTCTTTTACTGGTTTTTCATTTCATTTTTTATCTTCTTATAAAATGTATGTCTTCCTCTTCATTCTATCTATACTTATTTATTTTTTTC